GTCTTGAGGAATATGCTGCTTTGAACCGTTACATCTCGACTGCCCAGGGCAAGCGCCGTGGTTCGACTTCCAGCGCTGGTGCTCTCAGCACCGGCAAGAAGGAGAAGAAGGGCTTCTCTCTCTTCAAGAAGAAGACCGATGGTGCTGAGGATGGCTTCGTCTGCCCCGATGAGTGGCTCGAAACCGACATGCGCTCCGGTCTGCGCTCCAGCGACATCGATGCCCGTCGCAAGAGAACTGGTTGGAACGAGTTGACCACTGAGAAGACCAACTTCTTCGTCCAGTTCATTGGTTACTTCCGTGGTCCTATTCTTTATGGTGAGTTGCCCATCGATTCCGTTCGCTGACGTCTCAACGGCCTAAAACTAATCCGCGCCTGCGTCATAGTTATGGAACTTGCTGTCTTGCTCGCTGCCGGTCTTCGTGACTGGATCGATCTTGGTGTCATTATTGGTATTCTTATGCTCAACGCTGTTGTCGGTTGGTACCAGGAGAAGCAGGCCGCCGATGTCGTCGCTTCGCTCAAGGGTGATATTGCTATGAAGGCTGTTGTTATCCGTGATGGACAGGAGCAGGAAATCCTTGCCCGTGAACTGGTTGCTGGTGATATTGTACGGTCCCCCCCCCTCAGTCTCCAATCATCTTGTGAGCTGCAAACTAATCTGATTCGAATCTATAGGTCGTCGTTGAGGAGGGTACTATCGTCCCTGCTGATATCCGTCTTATCTGCGACTACTCCAAGCCCGAGAACTTCGAGACCTACAAGGAGTACCTCGCCACCGTTGGCGATGACACTCTCAAGGAGAAGGAGGACGAGGACGACGAGGATGGTGGCATCGAGGCTCGTGCCGGTGTCTCCCTCATCGCCGTTGACCAGTCCGCCATCACTGGTGAGTCTCTGGCCGTCGACAAGTACATGGCCGACACCTGCTACTACACCACTGGTTGCAAGCGTGGAAAGGCCTACGCCATCGTCACCGCTACCGCCAAGCAGTCTTTCGTCGGTAAGACTGCTGCTCTCGTCCAGGGTGCTCAGGACCAGGGTCACTTCAAGGCTGTCATGGACAACATCGGTACCTCCCTCCTGGTTCTCGTCATGTTCTGGATTCTCGCTGCCTGGATCGGTGGTTTCTACCGTCACCTCAAGATCGCTACTCCCGAGAACTCTGACAACAACCTTCTCCACTACACCCTGATTCTCCTGATCATCGGTGTTCCCGTCGGTCTCCCCGTCGTCACTACCACTACCCTCGCTGTCGGTGCTGCCTACCTGGCCGAGCAGAAGGCTATCGTCCAGAAGCTCACTGCCATCGAGTCCCTTGCTGGTGTCGACATCCTTTGCTCTGACAAGACTGGTACCCTTACCGCCAACCAGCTTTCCATCCGCGAGCCCTACGTCAACGAGGGTGTTGATGTTAACTGGATGATGGCTGTCGCTGCTATCGCCTCCAACCACAACATCAAGAACTTGGACCCCATTGACAAGGTCACCATCCTGACCCTCCGCCGTTACCCCAAGGCTCGTGAGATTCTCGCCCGCAACTGGGTTACCGAGAAGTACACTCCCTTCGACCCCGTCTCCAAGCGCATTACCACCATCTGTACCTGCGACGGTGTCCGCTACGTCTGCGCCAAGGGTGCTCCCAAGGCCATCCTCGCCATGTCTCAGTGCTCCGAGGATGAGGCTGATAAGTTCCGTGAGAAGGCTGCTGAGTTCGCTCGCCGTGGTTTCCGTTCCCTTGGTGTTGCCGTCCAGAAGGAGGGTGAGCCCTGGCAATTGCTCGGCATGTACCCCATGTTCGACCCCCCTCGTGAGGATACTGCCCACACCATCGCTGAGGCTCAGCACCTTGGTCTGTCCGTTAAGATGTTGACTGGTGATGCTCTTGCTATCGCCAAGGAAACCTGCAAGATGCTTGCCCTGAGCACCAAGGTCTACGATTCCGAGAAGCTGATCCACGGTGGTCTTGCTGGCTCTGCTCAGCACGACCTTGTCGAGAAGGCTGATGGTTTCGCTGAGGTCTTCCCTGAGCACAAGTACCAGGTCGTCGAGATGCTCCAGCAGCGTGGTCACTTGACTGCCATGACTGGTGACGGTGTCAACGATGCTCCTTCTCTCAAGAAGGCTGACTGTGGTATCGCTGTCGAGGGTTCCACCGAAGCTGCCCAGGCCGCTGCCGATATCGTTTTCCTTGCCCCCGGTCTCAGCACCATCGTCGATGCTATCAAGCTTGCCCGTCAGATCTTCCAGCGTATGAAGGCTTACATCCAGTACCGTATCGCTCTCTGTCTCCACCTTGAGATCTACCTCGTTACGTCCATGATCATCATTGAGGAGACCATGCGTGCCGATCTTATCGTCTTCATTGCCCTGTTCGCTGATTTGGCTACCATCGCCGTCGCCTACGACAACGCTCACTTCGAGCAGCGCCCCGTCGAGTGGCAGTTGCCCAAGATCTGGGTTATCTCCGTTGTTCTTGGTATCTTGCTCGCTGCCGCCACCTGGATCATCCGTGCCTCCCTCTTCCTTGACAACGGTGGTATCATCCAGAACTTCGGTTCTCCCCAGGAGATCCTCTTCCTTGAGGTTGCCCTTACCGAGAACTGGCTTATCTTCGTCACTCGTGGTGGTAAGACCTGGCCCTCGTGGCAGCTGGTTGGTGCCATCTTCGTTGTCGATGTCCTCGCCACCCTCTTCTGTGTCTTCGGCTGGCTCTCCGGCGATTTCGAGCAGACCCACCCCCACGACAGCGCCGACTTCTCCGTCAACGGCGACGTCGACATTGTTACCGTCGTTGTCATCTGGGCCTACTCCATTGGTGTTACCGTCATCATTGCCGTCGTCTACTACCTCCTTACCATTGTCCCCTGGTTGGACAACCTTGGTCGCAAGAACCGCTCCCGCGCCGACACCCAGATTGAGAACCTGCTTGGCCACCTGTCCAAGCTCGCCATTGAGCACGAGCAGGACTCGCACGGCAAGTCCCGCTTTGTCCTGGGCGCTCGCGCCGAGGTTGAGGAGGAGGAGTAAACGCTTGATTGCGCTCCATAATACCATCCCCGCTGGCTCACACTTGCTACGCATACATGCATGAGCTGGAACCCTACTCCTCCGGCTTGCTCATTTTACCCCGTATTATAGACTTTTTTTTTCTTATTACCTGTTGTCTCTTTTACTAGAGCCAATTTCTCTTCTATTTTACATGTATGTATGTCATTAATAGTGGTAAATTTAGTCAATCAAGGGTCACCTATTCAATACTTCGTTCCCTCTTCTTTCTTTTGTCGCGTAGAATTTGTAAATTCTTCCACATATTCCTCCACTCTCCCGTCTTCTTCGCACAACAACCTTCGAAGAAAAACCTTTTCCGACCTAATTGCCGATCGTCTCAATCGAGCCAGGAGCTCTTTCTTCGTCTGCCCACTTCTACCCGGCCGTTAATTCGGACCTTGACCGGTTGCGCTTATTTGTTCCAGCCAAGAAGCGTCCACTCGGCCCGGTGGAGCAATTTCCACCAGGGGCAAATTCCACAGCTATTGTGGTCAACTGCTTCAGGACGGGTTTGCGGTCACTCGGGTCGAGTCCAGGTTTCAGGCTACGTATCATTCAGCCAAGCCCGTCCCTTCTCTTTCTTCCCTTATACCTGCTGTGTGTGAGTGTGTGTGAACTTCCTACATTTCGAAACATGCAAACTTTGAGTATCTATTCCATTTATCCCATGAAACGTGGCTGCAAAAGTAAACGCCCCCGAAACCAAAAAATATGGCTTTGAATGTGATATGAATGGCTAGATCCAGGCAACGGGTTCTTACTGTACGTAGACGGATCTTTTGATGTTGTGGTAGGAGAAATATCCTACATTCTGAAGTTGGAAACCCCCCCCCCCCCCCCCCCCCGCCCCCCTCTGGTCCTGATGGGTTTGATTCTTGGGCTGGGTGTGGATTACCTAGTAGCTTTTGCAGTCGTTGCGAATGGCTGTAGTTTGTATGAAGCTTCTGTCGAGCAAGGAAGCTGGTCCTGATGGGTTTGATTCTTGGGCTGGGTGTGGATTACCTAGTAGCTTTTGCAGTCGTTGCGAATGGCTGTAGTTTGTATGAAGCTTCTGTCGAGCAAGGAAGCTTTGAAGGAGGGGGGGGGGGGGTTGGTATATGGCTCCACGTATAGTATAGGGTTCTGTTCTCTATTGATGACTAGACCCCCCGGCCGGTCCAGTGGGAGTGCTGTTTTGAAGCAGTGGTTTGCTGCAAGGTAATTTGTAGGTTGTTGGAACTCCGAGTAGGAAGGATATCATGTGATTGATGCCTCTCTCCTCTGTCCATTCGGTCTGTCTGGCTTTGACTAGTTAGTCACTCTCCTTTGACTGAAGATCTATGCAACGTAACGGTGTAGGGTCTCTCGAAGATAGATTTATGATCGGCGTACAGCCTATGCGAACAACGACTGCAGCTGACGATGACCACAGATCCCGCTGTTTGCTTGTGTGCTGTGTGTCGATGATATCCGGTATTGGGGTGAGTGAGGGACATGACTTCAAGAGCGGTGCGTGCACCATCATGACTGGGTAGAGAATTTAGGACTACCTAAGTTGGTGTCCCTCGTGCTGAAGGATGTGATTCCTCCGCTTGGTGCCTGCAGGAGGCTGGGATAGCTTCGATTGTCTTTCGATCCAGGCTGGATATGCCGTTCATTATGTGTAATCGGTCCGGCAAGCTCGAAGCACGTCAATTGAGGGATACTACAAACTTAACGCAAATCAATTCAAGACTAGAAACACCCCCAATATCTACCTCCCTCCATCCCCATTCACCATCGGAGTGGGATACCGCGGCCCATACGCCGCACTCTCCAACCGCTCCATCTCAATGGTATTCCGTCTCTCCGTCTCACGACTGGGCAAGATCCCCTGCGTACTCGACCCTGTCCGCACAGACTCCGCCTTTCCATCCGCCATAGTACCCTGGAGACTCTTCTCATGACCCACTGCGGCAGCAGCAGCAACCCGACACCTCCGATGCGTCGCGACGATGGCCGTCCCCGCCCCGACGACCCACCACGAGAACAAGACGGGCAAGGCGGTGCGCAACTGATTCTCGCACCCGTCACTCCAGATCTGCACGAGCACCTGGTACAGCTCGTGCGCGGGGAGGGCGTACGCCCACCGGAAGAAGCCCGGCTGCATCTCGAAAGGGCTGACCGTGCTGGCGACGTTGAGGATCGCCCAGGTCAGGATGCAGAAGGGCATGAACTGCATGGGCACGTAGGTGGTCAGCACGTCCACGATCTGGAAGTTGATGTGCATGTACAGCCAGACGGCCATCCAGCAGAGCACGAACTGGCCGGCCGAGACGGCCCACGACTCGCGGAAGGCCCAGATGTAGCCCACCATGCACAGGGCGCCCACGAAGGTGTAGCACCCCGAGATGCACAGCCGCAGCAGACCGTTGGCGCGCGGCGTCAGCCGCGTGAACAGCTGGAACTGCGCCGACAGCCCGTTCAGCGCCATCATGAAGAAGAACTGCTGGATGATCGGCATGACGATCGAGACCGTGTTGTACAGGACCCGCCCGCCTTGCGCGGTGGCTTTGATGTTGTGTTCCGTCGCGGTGATGGGGTCGAGGAAGGCGGTTAGTGCGGTTGATGTTGATGCTGAGGAGGCGAGGAGGGTTTGGAGGACGTTGGACGCGTTGCGCGCGTAGTACGTCGACCGCGTCGCTTCGATCAGCGTGCGGAGGTTGGAGTAGACGGCGCTTTGCGCGAACGCGGGGTACCGTGCTCCGTTCCAGATGTAGGTCAGCGCGGTGGTTGCGGTGGTGGTGTTGCTGCTGCTGCTGCTGCTGCTGCTGTCTGCGTCCCCAGACAGTGATGCTGCCAGCCGCGCGGCGGCCCCCGCGTTGACGTAGATAGCCCCCCAGTAGTCCCCGTGGCAGACGGCGTTGCGCACATCCTGACTAGATGAAAAGTCCTCGGTGGATGCCTGGTGCAAAGTAGGGAAGGTCGCGCCCTGCAGGGCTCCGTATGCGTCGAGGACGGATTGGCCGATGATGTCGCCGTCGAAATCGACGTACAGGAGCTTCAATTGATGGATTCGTTCGCTGTCTCGATACTGCGTCCCGTACAGGTAGGACATATTGCCCAGAAAGAGAAGCTGTAGGAGCAGAAAGCTCATCCCCACTGATACAAGGAAGCTCTTCCAGTGCTGTCTCCAGTCATCCTGGTGAGAGGGCCGCGCCGGCGGAGTGCTCATGGTCGTATTTTCAGGTTGCAGGCTGTCCAACCTTCGGCACCAAGCTGTATCTTGCTAGGGTCAAAGCACGGGAGCTCTTCATCCTGAGAGATCATGGGCACTATTTATTCCATTTCAGCCAAGCTCGTTAGGGGGGCGACGTTGATGGCTATAGTTCGGTTCCGGAAGGCGGGGACCAGAGAGCATCCGATGACTAAGCGGAAAGGCCGATGCAGAGACCGAGCAGGCAAACTTGTCAGAGCCTCAACCTTAACCTGTTTATAGATGCAGATCAGCCTGTGATTGGAAGGAAAGTCCCAAGGAGCGGGCAGCCTGTACCCTGACCTAGTCCTGTTTAATGAGCTATATCCCGGGATTAGATCGTGGACCCCTATCTACAGGAGTGTTTTGGCACTATTCAGTCAATGCGGAGCGGTGGCAGAACAACCCAGCTACCAGGCAGGTCTCACCGCTTTCTGCTTCGAGTGCTTCGAAAGGAGCTTCAAAAGAGACCAAAGGGTTACTGATCCTTCTAACACGCAACCTGTAAAACGCTTGGCGGTAGCGTTCTGTTCGCTTTGAGCGGCGAAATACTCGAGCTGAGACCTCGCAAAGCCGGTGTCGGATTTCCCTAGAAACCGCGAGGAACAGCCCCAGATAAGTCAAATGGAGCACTTGCAAGTCGGGGCACTAATACGCCGACATCAGGAGAATAAGGAAACATCCGAATGGGGAACAGGTCCTGATGATGGAAGGTTAAGCAACATCTATACTGGCGTCGTGGAACAGATGATCGTATCAGATAATCTTCTTATTCATCAAACTCTTATATACATCATAAGGGCAATAACGCATGGAATCTTTTAGCTGTTGCTAAAATTCTTGTCTAGGTCTAATGCTCTCCAACGGGTATAAGCTGTGTGATGGCAACATCAAAGCAAGAAAAGGTTGGGGCAATATGCTATCCAAGATGTGCGTCAGGTGATCTGTGGCAGGCCTCACGGTTGAGAATTGCTCGGGCAACCTCCAACAGGCGTGTCGACTAGATGGGTATGTCGAGGATAAGATCCTCCATGCTAAGTTCCTGCTGGATATGACGAGGCGGTGCTGATTTGCACCGTGTCATAGTCGGGACAGCCATGCGTCGGGTTCCCGGCACCGGAAAAGTCACTGCCGATTCACTGACTGGTATGGGTTGGATATGCGACAAAAACGGAGGATGTGTGTATAGTGTGTCAGTAGGGGGGGGGCGAGAAGGGTAGGTGGAAGGCTGAACAACTGTCCGACTTTAAAGACCAGTCTTGCCCAGAAGGCTGGCCAGCTGGTCAACATCCTTGTCTTCCTTTTGGGCGACCTTCTCGTTCTCGGCGAGATCGGTGTCCTTGAGAAGCTTCTCGGCCTTCTCCTCTTCCTCCTCCTCCTCCTCTTCTTCCTCTTCGCTCTCCTCCTCCTCAAGCTCGTCCAGCTCGTCAATACCCCACATCTCCTCAGGGTCCTCATCGGAGCCGTGCTCTTCCTTGCGAGCCTCGAGGATCTCGCGCAGCTCAGTCACGTTGTCATCATCCTCCATGAAGATGTTACCGTTCAGCTCGATACGGCGCAGGGCGGGAAGACCAGACTTGGTCGCGAAGAGAAACTGCTTGACACCCTCGGCCGTGATTTCGTTGTACTGAAGACGCAGGGTCTGCACCTTCTCGTTCTTACCCTCAGCCAGGGCCTGGGCAACCTTGACACCGCCACGGCCCGAGAGCAAGCAGTCGCTGACACCCAGCTCGCGAAGAGAGGCCCAGTTACCCAGAACACCGGCCAGAGCGGTCGAACCCATAACGGTGAAAGTGTTGTCCTGAAGATCGACGACCTCCAGAGCCTTACAGTGGCTAAGGCCCTCCTTCAGCAGCAAAGAGATACCTTCCTGGCGGATACCGTTCTGGGTCATCTTCACGGAGCGCATGCCGGCAGCGTGCACCTCGTAGGCACGTGCCCAGGCAGCCATACTGCCGTTCTCCAGGCGGTTCCGACCGCAGACAATGCTCTCCAGGAGAGACACTTCCTTGCCAGCCTTGCGAGCCTCCTCCTTGCGCTCAGCGAGTTCGGTGAGGGCCTTGGCGATGTTGGAGCCGGCCTCGGGGCCCATACCGTTGTTGTTCAGGATCAGGTGGCGGAGGGGCACGTGGCGGGCGAGGAAGTCGACGAGGGGCTTCTGAGTGTTGGCACCGAAGGCATTGTCGGACAGGTTAACGGTGTGGAGAGTGGAGATCTCGAGAAGGGCGTTCAGGAGGAAGGTCAGAGCGTCGGGAATCTCGCTCAGCAGACGCGAGGTGAAGATGTCGGCCAGCTCGGCGACCTCGAGGCTCTTTTGGGTGGACAGCACGGCGGCGAGGCGCTCGCAGGCGGGGACCCCCAGGGTGTTTCCTCCAAAGCGGATCTCAGTGTAGTCGGTGCTCTCCAACAAGGGCTTGATATGGGTCTCAATGTCCTCAGCGGTGTCCAGCTTGAGGCCTTTGCCCTCAAGCGAAAAGACCTTAGGAGGGGCCATGGCGGGGTAAATTAAATTTCAGGGGGGGGGGGTGAGGGGGTTGAAAAAAGGTCAACAGTCAAGAAGTACAGATGGAAAGGATCGTCAGAAAGACAGACGTAAGGAAGCGCAATATCACTGTCCAAGCCAGTAAGTAGAAAAGTTTAAAAGAAAAGAAAGGGAGGAATGAATGTGATGGAAATTGTTGTGGTGTGTGTGTGTGGTGTGGGAAGATAATGAAATTGAAGGGGAAGAAGGGGAAAGAACAAAAGAATGCAGAATGCAGTGAGTGAGTGCAGTGTGATGATGCGCCCGCCCGCCCGCCGCCGCCTTTTTTCCCCCCTGCTTCCCTGACAACCGGCTCGTTGCCCGCAAAATTTCCCCGATCGCCGCTCCGGCAAGTCCTACCGACCAACAACGCCATTCCGAACCCATCGCATCATCTTCTTCAACTATCACATTAATCAGCAGTTCTCGGTCTGCTTAAGTTAATGAGCTAGTTAACCTCATCGTTGCCAATTGTCCCACTACCCACTCACTCACTCACTCTTTGCTCCGTTGCATTCTTTCACTCCCTCCTCAATCCAGCCGCTCATTCTGCGCCCATATATCCAGAACCTTCATTCTTCAGTATGTCCTGGTTGTTCGGTTCCTCCAAGCGTAAGTCAATTCCCGCGATTATCCGCAGCCCTTCAATCTTCAATCTTCAATCTTCCCTTTCCCACAGCTCCTCACCCCATACCCAACACGCAATTGGAACTAACCAATCCCTCCGTTTGCGCAAACACAGCCGAGAGCGCTCCCGCCGCCGCCGCAGCTCCCACCGAATCCGCCCCGGCCGAGAAGCCCAAGGTCAGTCGCACCACCCGTCCGCTCCCATCGAAAAACCACCGCACCTTTCTCCTCGAAATGCAGACCCAAAAACCGAGAAAGCTAACCCAACCCCCACACAAACAGCCCTGCTGCGTCTGCAAGACCGAAAAGACCGCCCGCGACGACTGCATGCTCTTCTCCAAGACCGACGATCCCACCCAGGAATGCAAGTCGATGATTGATCAGTACAAGGCCTGCATGGCCGGGTATGGGTTCAAGGTCTAGAACCCCGCCGCCGTGGCTGTTGTTCAGAGAGTGGGTTCCTGCTGGCATGTTTCTGGGGTGGGGAGAACTTCCTCGACTCTGCGATTGTATAACATATGGGTTGTTTTAATTGTTTTTTTGGGGGGGGGGTACAGTACAGTACAGTACATAGAAGGAGAAAGAGCGCATGCAACATATCCTGGAGTTTGGGTTGTGGGAGGCTTTGTTTTCTCCGAGGGGTTTTTTGATTTGCTGTGGTCTTGTATATTAGATCGATCTTGTTTTCTTTGCTTGAATGTTCTTCGTTGGGCGGCTGTTTTATTATCATCTCCCCTTATGCAGTACATGTCTTGTCGTGGTTGTGTTAGTGATTTTTGAAGGTCGTAGTGTCTGCTTTGAAAGAGTAGCAAGTAAAATCAAATCATTGCTCTTTGTTTGGTGTACATACAATAACTGGCATGGACGAGGTTTAGTGTCAGAGCCATGCACATGGCAAGCCCACGGAAATGGCATTGGGGTATCACTATAGAATGACAAATGGTATATGGAAGGCACCGCGTCTATGGGTCCACCTTAGATCACTGATTCTTCTTCTGAGTCTCCTCCGCTACCTTCTGGTCAATCTTCCGGCACTGCTGGATCAACTTCCACACACACCATAGATAGGCCAGTCCAAACCCGCCGGCTCCGATGAGCACGTTCAATACCACCCACAGGTCGGGTTTGTCCGAGGGAGGAGGCACGAAAGCCTCCACGACATGCCATACGATCATGGCAAGGTAGAAGCAGATGTGCACGAGTTTGGTGAGCACATGAGGTTCCGCACTGTCCTCGGACGAATCCCGGCTACGATAGGCCTCGAGCGAGGTTGGCGGCAGACCCATCAGGTAGGCCCAGAGCAGGGTCATGACGAAATACGGCACCCGGAGCTCGTCGCGCTTGAGCAGAGGGTACATGGTCCACGTGCCGAGAATGTTGGCCCATCCAACCCACGCCCGCGTTTCCTTGCTGAGACCTCCGTCTCCAGCCAGGAGCAGTGTCATCGGGAGCAAAGGAAGCAGCACGCTCTTCTCGTGCACCTGGAAGGAGAACAAGAAGAAGCCCCAAGCAACACTTGAGAGTGCGGGGAGCAGAAGTGATGCGCGCGGATGGCGGAAGATAAGGATGCAGGGGATCAAGATCGAACCCAAGGTGGCGCCAAGGGACATGCGCTGAAGGAGACTGGCTTCAAAACGATGAAGCTTGTAAAACGTATGGACAGCGCACCAAGCATTTGCGACCTTGTCCTCGAACAGACCCCGGGCAAACGGGAACACACGATGAATGATCTGCGTCAATTGGAAAGCGACTGCGTAGAGCACGGAATGCTTATCGAGATCGATCGGGAGCTGCTGCAGAAGAGGAGGCTGCGGAGCCGAAGCCAGGATCTCTCGTGCCTCTTCACCGATCGCGCCGATCACCAAGGGGCCGAAGAGAACCGCAAATGCCACGAGTGTTACAAGCGCAATGCAAAGAAGGCGGAGGATTCGGATTTTCGGGAAAATGCACACGCCCAAGAGGAAGGCGAACAAGACGGGGGCATAATAGAGGGCCATCTGCTTGAAGCCGAGGGCGCCCACGAAGAAGATGCAAGCCCAGAGCATGCGTCCCGCCAGGATGGCATCCAAGCTCGCAACGACGAGCCCCAGCATCACCGTGTTGTACTGGAAATGACCATGGTCGATGAGAATAGTCGCGGGTTGAAGTAGAATTGCGACAAGCGCAATTGAAGCAGACCAGACAGGCACATTTTGCATCCGAGTGTAGCGGCGCAGAAAGTTGACCACGGCCGGGATGAAGACAAGATACTCGGAAGCCACTACCGTACCGCGCATGAAGACCTTCAACAGAGGATCTTCAAGCCCGCGAGACTGATCAAGAGCGAACCAGCTCGGGTCAATGGCAGTTCCACTATATAAAGTTAGTCACAGAGAAGGTGATTTTGACCCTCCAGTCACTTACAGTTTCCCCAGCAGCCAGCTGTGATATGCCGTCAGAGGAGGATAGTCCAGTCCCCAGTATTGTAGATCATACAAGTACCACTTTGCCATGGGCAAATGAGTGGTAATTTCCATCCAGTGTCGCTGCGCCTCGAAGTCACCGTGCATCGGGGGTACCTGGAAGCCTTGTCGCCATTAGTCTTGGGGATTGATGTGTTCGAGACGCTCATGCGACGTACCAGAATACCCCCATAGACTAACTGCCCAACGGAATAGGCCGACAGCCAGCAGAACAAGAGGGAGAACAAGCCATTGAGAAACACCTGCCCGAGCGGACCACAGGAATGAAACCAGAGGAAAGGCGGGAGACGACTTGCCGCCTAACTCGGCAATGAGAGAGTTGTTGGAGCCCGCGTATGACGAGGGGAACTTTCTCTTCTTCCGCGGGCGATAAGAGGATGGAGGAGCCATTGCCGCAATCTTATACGAGAGTGAGTCTAGAAGTAGACCATTGATCCGATGCGATCCGTCTGTGTTGGAGTGCAAGTGCAATAACGGTGCACGCAGAGAGGGAAGAGCAAGGTCAGGAGTAGGTAGAACTGCAGTAGTCGGGATGGTACGTGGTACAGACGGGAGTGGACCAGCTCCGGGGAATGACACTCTGTTGCTTCAACGAGGGCGGTGGGCGGATCTAGGAATTACCTCCGTCTTCAGTAGGTACTGTAGCTCGCTACTCCGTACCTTGGCAGTTTTACAGAGACAGTAGGGAGTAGGAAACTGGCTTTTTCTTAATTAAACTACCAGAAGCTGTCAAGTTCCATGAAGCTGAGCAGACTAATTGAGCTCTTTTCGTACTATTGCAAGGGATCACCAAATCACCAATTATCTTGTATCCCTTTGTTGTCTGTGTCTGTCGAGGGCCGAGGCCAACAGGCACCGGAGCAAGGCGCGCTTAGTCAGCGATGCATGCGGTGTGGCCGGTGGGTCCGAGTACCTCGACTAAGACCAGGAGCGCAGGCGGTAGCCCCTGTTGATTTTTTCTGCCTGTCTCCAGTTTTGCAACTAGTCGAATTTTTTTTTATCCCCCCGGCCGCCTTATCGGAGCTCGCAGCAGTAGAAATTTTCTTCTTTTTCTTCTCCTTCCCCCTTCACTCTTCATCCTCTCACTTCTCTTCATCCCTTTTATCATCATCATCATTCCTCTTTTGAGATTCAAACAATCGTTTGACTCTCCTCCATCTACTTCTTGACTTACTCAGCTGTATCTTACTAGGTACACCGTAACAGACATCCTGTGGGCTTTTTACCTTGAGGGCTGTGGGTTGTAACATACTACGTTCTATTCTGTGGGATCTGTTGGATACTTCCGTGGGTTTCATATCATAGACAGTAGCGTTTCTCCTGTCTTACTCGTGTGGGCTTGAACACTGTCAGTTGTGGGTTACCTGTGGGTATTTGCGAAAGCAATCAGTGGGCTGTTCTTATATCAAATCGGGTGATTTGTGGGACTCAAGAAAATTTTTGCCGCACAAGAAGATTCTTTGTGATCAATTTTATCTGGTATGTCTCCACCTGGGTTCTCATATATCGACCCATCCGCCTTCCTCACCTCTTCTCACTAACCAACCATTCTTTCTATCCCCAGATTCAAAATGTCTAAGACCAAGTCCGTTTCCAAGAAGGGTGAGAAGCCCGTTGACAAGGCCTTGAGCAAGGTCAAGGATGCCGGTGTGAGCAAGGCTGCTCAGTCCCCCAAGTCCAAGAGCAAGCAGATTGCCAAGGCTGTTGTGACCAAGGAGAAGAAGTCTTCCAAGAAGAAGAAGGAGCCTACTCCCTCTGAGTCCTCCGACTCCGAGTCTGACAGCGATGAGGAGATGGACTCTGACTCTAGCTCTAGCAGCGAGAGTGAGGATGAGAAGCCCGCTAAGAAGGAGACCAAGAAGGTTGCTAAGAAGGTCGAGTCCGAGTCCGACTCTGACTCCGACAGCGATGAGGACATGAAGGATGCCTCCAGCAGCGAGAGCGAGAGTGAGAGCGAGGATGAGAAGCCTGCCAAGAAGGTTGCCAAGAAGGAGGAGTCCAGCGACTCTGAGTCTTCCGAGTCTGAGGATTCTGACTCTGAGTCCGAGTCCGAGAAGGAAGCCCCCAAGAAGGCTGAGAAGAAGGTTGAGTCCGAGTCCGAGTCCGACTCTGACTCTTCCTCCTCTGAGGACGAGGCCCCCAAGAAGGCCACCAAGGAGTCCAGCGACAGCGACAGCGACTCTGACTCCGAGTCTGAGGACGAGAAGAAGGCTGAGAAGGTTCGCATTACCCACCAATCGATCTTGACAATCATCTCATGCTAACATCACGTAGGAATCTTCCGACTCTGACTCTTCCGACTCCGACTCCTCCGACTCTGAGTCTGAGGAGAGCGACGAGTCTCCCAAGGAGTCCAAGAAGCGCAAGGCCGAGGACGAGAGCGCCGCTACCCCCAAGAAGACCAAGGTCGAGGAGCCCGCTGAGGGTGCCTCTGCCAACCTCTTCGTCGGCAACCTGTCCTGGAACGTCGATGAGGAGTGGCTCCAGCGCGAGTTCGAGGGCTTCGGTGAGCTCTCTGGCTGCCGCATCATGACTGAGCGTGAGACTGGCCGCTCTCGCGGGTAAGCATTCCATTCCACCTTTGGTATTTGGGTCGTCGCTAATCATGTATCCTAGTTTCGGTTACGTTGAGTTCACCAACGCTGCTGATGCTGCTAAGGCCTACGAGGCCAAGAAGGGCGCTGAGATCGATGGCCGTACCATCAACCTCGACTATGCCACCGGCCGTCCCGCCAACAACCAGGGTGCTCCCCGCGACCGTGCCGAGAACCGTGCCCGCAACTTCGGCGACCAGGCCAGCCCCGAGAGCGACACCCTGTTCATTGGTAACCTTCCCTTCAGTGCCAGCGAGGACTCCGTTGGTGAGCTCTTCGGCGCTTCGGGTACCATTGTCGGCATCCGTCTGCCCACCGACGCCGAGTCTGGCCGCCCCAAGGGCTTCGGTTACGTTCAGTTCTCTTCCGTTGACGAGGCTCGCGCGGCCTACAACGAGCTCAACGGAGCCGAGCTTGAGGGTCGTCCCGTCCGTCTGGACTTCAGCACTCCCCGTCAGAACAACAACGGCGGTGGCCGTGGTGGTGGTCGTGGCGG